GCTCTCATTGTTCAAGCTGTGGGGAACCTTTGACACAAAAATATAAACAGATATGAGGTTTTTTTTTTTCTTTTTTGGGTCTTGATGATCATTTTATTTTTGAACATACCTTAGTATATGATGTATTTTTCCAACCTGTTAAGTGTTTTAGATACTAGATTATTTCCTTTTTTAAGACAGGCCCACCTAGAGACTAGATAACTGAACTGCAGAAATGAGTATCTAAAGCATGGAGCTTTAGTCACCACATAAATTTTCTGAAGATAAAACCACGATTTCAGCGTTTAAAGTGTCTGATTCTATTTCAGAATTTCTATGACGAACCATAAGTTTTAAAAAGAGATTTCTTGAGCTGCCTTATCGACATTTCAGATGCATGCAGACTCTCTTCCCCTCCCCCAGACCCCTTCAAACCCCCTTCCTGCCATCTCCTCCGAAAGGAGGAAATGAAAGCAAACCATTGCCTCTTGTTGGCAGTAGAACTTATTCAGTAATTTACTTTCCAGCCAACTGCAGCCATAGCCATTGCCTCTGGGCACTTGTTCAAAAACTCCGAAACGCAATAACAGATTGGCCAGACCACACACGACTCTGCAGACACAACCCTATTATCTCCTCATCTGTCACCCCCATTAGGCAGCAGCCTGGGAGACGGGATGGTGATCACGAGTATTTAGGCATCTCCTTCACGTCCACAGCTCACGGCTCTCCACCCGGCTTCCTGGTTCATCTTCCTGCGGGTGCATGAGTGGGGCCCGGGCCTTCAGATCCCTAGAGCATCTTTAAGGGCTTCTGTCCCTGCTTCCCACCTGGGAGAGTCCTCCGAAAACCAAAACAAGACACAGGAACAAGCTTCCTCCGGTTGTCCATTGTCGACCACCCACCGGTGAATGAACAGGGCACGGGCAGCACTGTGCGGACTTTACTGAATATCCAGTCTCTCTCCACTTAAGTTATTTTTAGTCGTTCTATTAAGGTCAGAGTCAAGCCGAGCAGTTGCTTCATTTCATATTGTGAGGCCTCTGCAGGCTTGGTCATCTCCTGCAAAGCAGATTTCTCTGGTCAGATGACTGGATAGGAGAGGAGGGTCTGTGTTTCCTCGAGAGAGACTCATTTTCTGATTGTGGCTTTCTGGTGAAATTCCTTTTTAAAATTATAGGCACAAGAGACAAATGTTTGAGAAGGGTATGGGCTTGCTTTCTCCCTTGGTCGACTGTTAAAATAGAGAAGTTTAGAACTCAAACAAGGAGCGATCCAAAGGAAAATGCCTCTTCTCTTCCAGAGTCGTGTACCCTGGAGACTAGACACGGTTCCTTAGGGTGGTTGGCTTTTGGGGGGGGTTCCCCTCCCCTTGAGCTTCACCTTTTATCCTGTCTTCGTCCCATCCATCCATTCAGTACACAGCCCCAGAATTACATCTGTCATTAGTGAGTGATTCTTGGAGGAGGTGCAGGGTTGGGGTGATGTTGCTTGGTTTTGCCCCCCAAATCCCCTTGTGCCCTACTGGCTGGTGAACACACAGCTGGAGTAGATGAGAGCAGCAGGGTCCACTGACCCTATTGAGGACCATGGATTCAGCCCTGCTCCCTACAGATTTCTGGCCACTAGTTGGTAAAACCTGGACGAGGGAGATAGTAGCCTTGGGCTGAGGAAACAGGAAGGAGGGGAGAACCCAGCTGAATGGATTTTAAACAGATGGACTTTCCACTGAAAAAAGCAGGGTTGGGCTTGGGCTAATCCATCCTGGAGAGGATTGTTCTCCGTGAAGGTTGAGCTGGGGCTGGGTGGGAGCAGGCCACCCCTCGCTCCTCCCAGGTAAGAGAACAGGGTGAAGTGAAAACCTTTAAATATGTTTGAGACAGCTTACATGACATTTGTAATCGTTGGTGTTCCTTCTTGCTGATTGAATCCTAACTGCCCTGTCCCATCCTTTCCACACCAGCTCACACCCCAGACAACAGCTTCCTGGGGTTCGTGGTCGAGCAGCACCTGAACTCCAGCGATATCCACCACATTAACGAAATCAAGAGGCAGAACCAGTCCCTTGTGTACGGCAAAGTGGATAGCTTCTGGAAGGTGAGTCAGTCTGTGCGTGCCTCTTGCTCTGAAAAGAAGCTTGTTGCGTAATTTAATTTAACTTTGATCCAGGGAGTAATCAAGCCAAGTGCCCACGGCTTGACAGGGTCTGCTTAGAAGTAAAAAAGAACATGCAGGGATTTGGGCTGATCGGCGTCTGGGCGTCTAATAAAGGCTGTATGTACCCGCTCACCTGTACGGTGGCTGCACAGCAGTGCCCCTCACTCTTTGCATTTTGGAAGTGATGCATTCCGGCTCCTTTCCCATCCTCTGCTTGCTTCCAGAAGCCGGGGCCTCACAGGGGCTGGATACCTTTCTGGAGCAAAGCATTGCACAAGGAGACCCTTTGCCAAGTGACTCATTTCCTCTGCCCGCTGTGAAATGATTTGTAAAGGGAGGCAGCTCCCTTTGCCTGGGGAGGGCAGTGGCCCTTGCATCCTCTTGTCTGTGGTCAGTACTGTGGTCAGTACTCCACTACGTGGGAAAGGGAGATGCCTGCCTGGGTTGACCACAGGCAGTTTACATGGGGACCTCTTGGTTGAAACAACATTCTTGGTCACAGGCTGAGCCAGGTTTTCCAAGAACACTGGACTGCTGGGCCCTGGAGGGCCCCTTGGTCCTCCTGGGTTATTTATTTCCAGGCCCCATCTGGGGAAGGTATGAGAGAAGAGGAACCGGATTGGGGCCTGACCTGTTTACATGGCATGCAAGTCATTTTACAAGGAAAGTCCGCCTTAGTATGCAAATTTTGCAGTATTTCGGAGGACGTATTTGTACAAGATGGAACAGTCTCCAGGACTTCGAAAACGTGCCTCTTCCTAAACATAAAAGTTAATCACTTTCTGGAATGCTCAGGAACTGTGCTCTCCTGTTACCCTGTCTCCCTTACTTAGGAAGTTAGAAATCTGATCACTGAGAGAGCACACATGATGTGCAGGTGAAGGATTCCCTGTTCTTGGTTTGCTGACCCCGTGTTCAGAAAAGGGAAAACATTGCCACCCCCTTTGCAGTTCTAAAATGCTAACTATGTGGAAGGGGCAACACATCAGCCTATTTGCAGGGAAACTGATTTATTTTCGAGGAAGCTGATTTATTTCCAGATAACCGTCTTTGCTGTAAAGAGCTAGAATCCTGTCTCAGTACAGTGGTTCTCCACTGGGGACAGTTTTACCCCCCAGGGGACATCTGGCAGTGTCTAGGGACAATTCTGGCTGTCATGATCGAGGTTAGGGACCCTGGCATCTACTGGGTAGAGGTCAGGGATGCTGCTAAACATCTAACAGTGCACAGGCCAGCCCCACAGCAGAGAATTATCTTGCAGAGAATATCAGTAGTGCCAAGCCTGAGAAACTAGGGCTGGTTAATAAGATTTATTTCCTAATATATTATTCCATATTTTCTCTTCTCAAGTAGAATAAAATCAGTTGAGATTATAAGTGGTTATTTCAGATGTTCCCATGAATTGATATCTTTGCTTCCTTTGTGTCAAAATCAGCCCTGTGTGAACAGCATTTTTCAGCTGACATTCAGGTGAACTTGGGTTGAAAAGGGCACATTGGATGTCCTCGTTCTCAGCTCCGTTGTAAAGAGAATGGATCATGGCACTGGTTTTAGGAAGACTGGGGCTCTTAAAAAAAAAAAATTGTAACTCCCTTCTTCCTCCTGTACCTGTTCAAAAACACTAGTTTGCATGTCCACGTGGACTTGACCTTGAAATTATACACTTCTGTTTGTGACCCAAGTGCAGCTTCTTCCTAGGTGCTTCTGGCAACCTTTTCAGTTTCCCTAGAAAAATAAAACAATAAATTCGTTCTGAAGGCTTTTTGGCCACCTTCTTTTGGACAAAGTAATACTGCCAGTAAAAGGATGATTTTCTTGATGCCAGTCAGAATCCCAAAAGTATTAACCGTGTTGGCCCGAGTGGTTTAGGGTTGGAAATCCCTCCAAAACCCCACAAGTGACCTGACCTTCCCCATCCTGTGCATCACTCAAGTATTACCAAAGACTGAGTAAGTGGTGAGTTTACATTAGAATTTGTTTGAATACCAAAAATCTGGGGTGTTGTTTCCATTTTAATACATTTTTATTACCCAGCATTCTTTGATGCGAAAGACCCCAAAAGATGAAAAGTACTGTAAAGTTTTCACGTCAATTCAGGACATCATCTCAGACTTTGGAACACAGCACAGTATATGAGAGTTTAGTTATTTTCTTCAAAACTTCTTCATCCCGTAGTACCTAGTGCATAGAAATCAGTCACGTTCAACACTGACTTTAGCTGGCAGGAAGGTTGGTGTATTTTTTTTCCAACCTTTCGCCCCATTCTCTCCTCCCATCCAACCAGACGTCCTTGGGAAGGGGAGCAGTACTGTCAGTCCTGGGAGGTTTGGGATTGCAGCGGGTGCATGTGGGCTGGCACAGCTTTGGACCAGATGATTTGGGCGGTCCTCCCTCACCCTCAGGTTCTAGGACTCACTGAAATTCTGAAGATAGCTGCTATGCTATCACTCCTCCGCCACTTCCTCCCCACCTGCCGAGGCACGTGATTGGGGAATGCCACCCCATGACCCCTCCACCTTTCGCCGATTGGCCCAGCAGGTTGTCCTCTGACCCAAGGCAGCAGGACATTGGTGGTTGGCTACCGTGATTCTGGCTCAGAAAGCCAAGCTAGATCAATGGGATTCTTCACTTGACATTGGAAAGTAGAAGGGCAGTGAGCTGTGGGTGCAGAAGTCAAAAGGATGTGTCCAGAGGTGTGATGAGACCCAAAAGCCTTCCAGGAGTCCAGTGATGAGGAAGCAGGACTGATTTGGAAAGGGAGAGGCTGTTGTTGAGAGGATGGTGCAGCAGAACCATAGGGAGGAGAGGTACCACCGTGAGAAATGTGGGGTGCTTTGCAGGGGCCACGTAGGAAGGCAGACAGACAGAAACCACCCATGCAGCCTGGAGAGAGAGAGAGAGTAGTTGCTGGAGTTTCTGGAAGCTTTCTTTTTCCAGATCATACATGTCTATCATACTCTGTTCCCTTCTAATATCCTGAGTCGTTTCTGTCCCTTATAGTCATATGAAGGGTATCTTCTAAAATATGTCTTCCCTGCCTTCCAAATGCCTATCAAGAAATACAGTCTGTTAAATATACAGGCTAAGGAGGAGTGGGCTAACTCTTCAACTCCCCGCGCTGGTCCCCAGTTCATGGCTGAGGTACCCTGTGGTCTTGTCCTCATGTTATAATACATAGTAGGGAGGTGGCTGGGAAAGAGGGGACCTTACTGTCTGATTCCAGAACCCAAAGATGCCTACTTAGGAAGCATCATTACCCAAGACGCTTAGCATCAAATGGGACGGCATACAGCCTGATTCCAAGTACAAATCTCTTTCTTAGCCCGATAGCCCACAGTTCTAGGCTCTCCCTATCTACCCTGCTGCAGTCTGGTCATTGGTATCAGCTAACACATGTGCCTAGAAGGAGAGAGGTCTGTCCAGTGTGGCCAGATTCAAAGTCCTTCAACATCCTGTTACCTTAAGTCATCAGGGAGTGAAAAATTAGGCAATTTTGTAAAAATAAGGGATTTTGAAAATTGTAGAAATTATAAGTAATTGAAATCTTGCTTTAACTGTATTCTTTATTTCCATGTTTCTTTAAAAAAAAGTATCCTGAGCACAACTGACGCTTCTGTTGATGGTGGGTCAGCATTTTACATACTTATGGACCCACCATGATGTTCTTATTACTTCTTGATACACACCTGCCGCTAAAGTAACTGTTCTGAAGGCCTTGCTTTGAGCCCCTCCAGGGAATAAGCATAGCTGCTGAACCACAAACTGGGGTTCCTTCCTTAGCCTGCAATTCACCAGTGTGAGAAGTAATTAACCACTTTGAGCCTTAGATGCCTGACCTGGGAAATGGGAGCAGTAACAAGTACCATGTAGAGCGGGGCTTCTCAGCCTTCATAGTGCATAGGAATCACCTGGGATCTTGTTAGAAGCCGCTCTGATTTAGACCTTCTGGGGCGGGGCTGAGATCCCGCATTTCTTGAAAGCACCCAGGTGATGCACAGGTGATGCTGATCAAAGCACAAGGCCTTGGGATGTTTGGGATTGTGGAGAGTGCTTGGCCCTGAGTAGCTGGCCAATCAGCGAATAAATAATCCCTTTTTCCTCTTTACTTTGGCCTTCCTGCTCCTCCTGTCAGGCTGCCGGCTCTTATGTCACTTTTTACTCCTCATAGCGCCTGATTCCAGTCACCCCCCGAGTCTCACTTCCCACTAAGCACATTTCTGTACATTTGCAAACATTGCTACTGCTAGTCTCTGGTGCCTGGCCCCTTCGAGTGGGGCAAACCTGTGGTGAGTAGTGGACTCTGAGAGGAGGTGGGAGGCCCGGTGTCTTCCTGGTCATCTGCCGTCCTGGTTTGTACAGTTGGTGCCTACTGGGCAGTAGGGTGTAGTGGTCAAGAACACAGATGTGGGTTCAAATCCTGCCTCTTGCCACCCCTGCCTGATCTTGGGAAAATTGCTTAACTTCACTTGGCCTCATTTTTCCTGGGGATGATGGCAATAGGGTTTCTGTAGTGATTAAATGCAATAATATGTGTAAAGTGCTTAGAAAATGGCCTGGCACTGAGTAAGTCTAAATAAATGTTTGCTGCTATTATTAATATCATTATTGGGGTCAGATTGGAAACATAGTGAGAATTGATGGGGATGCCAGATTGGGGATGTGCAGGGTAGAGCCTGTAGGGAACTGGCAAATACAAGCCTGCGCCCAGATATTCAGATTCCAGTTTTGAAACTCTGGCCCCTGAGTGAAAAATGTCTTTGTAAATAAAGTTTTATTGGGACATAGCCACACCTGTCCATCACCTATGGCTGCTTTTGCACTAAAGTGTCAGAGTCGTATAGCTGTGATAGACACTGTATGACCATCAAAGCTTAAAATATTTATTATCTGGCCCTCTATAGGAAAAATTTGCTGACCCCTGAATTACATCATGTCCCATG